CTGGTGACCCGAGTTCAATTTCAGGTCACGGCTGACATAAGTGGGGAGTCATTTCCAAACAATAATTATAATAATAATGTCGACTTATAATGCGCACAGTATTCGCTCGCTCTCGGAGACGGTGAAGGACTCAGAGGCGCAAACAGGAGCCACAGACAAGCGGGAAAATCAGCCACATGGTGAGCCAGTGCTAACTTCCCTGGAGAAAACCCACGCATGCAAGGGGCAACACTCTATCCCATACAGATGGAACAGGTGGGGTACACATATGGTATACCGCCTTCTCCTGACAAGCCAGGATATGACACCTTGACACCCACGGGAAGGGAGTTTCACAACCTCTGTTTGATCCACCAACCCTTGCACCCGCACTACCTAGATTGCAGGGGTTCGCCACCACCGCCTGGCTGAGCCAGTTCTGAGCCTTCCTCGATCGGCCAACTGCATTGACCGGCATTGTGAAATATGGTAAAAGAAAACCCTCGTGTGTGATATGATACGTGGAGGCCTTCAGTGAATCCAGTAATTAAAGTAAAATTCAAAACGTGGTATCGAATACAAGGCAACGAGAACTTGGCTCAAAACAACACGATCTGTACTGATTACCGCAGAGATGGCGAAGTTAATGGTACTGTAGTGAGCCCGAAGACGAGGGAGAGCCGGGACTTGAGGCAACAGTTTATTTAACAAATAATAACTCAATGCAAGGTCCCTACTATGAAGGGCAACGGCCCCTTACACCTGCTACCTGGGAGGTATGGCCTCCGGACTATCGTGTCTCCTAACACTAGGGCCCACTCTACACTCAGCCCTCTGGCTAGGGGCCCGAGGGGAGGCTATCCTGACCCGACCCAGCCAAGGTCCTCGGGTCCTGGCCACTGGCCCACTCAGTCCCTGCCCTTACAAGGACGTCGGGTCTGGAGGTACCCAGGGTCCGACCACCGTCCCACCTCAGTCCCAGCCCTTTGAAGGACAGCGGGTCTGAGGGTTCCAGGGTCCTATTCTAAGCCCAGTCTTCTGTCTTCTGCTTGAGGATGACTGCCGTACCCGTTCAGGGGTCCGGCTTTTATACCCCTCCTAGGGTCTCTCCGCCCCTGACCACGCCTCCCTTCCAGAGTGTTCCAGAGGATCCTAGAATATTCCCTCAGCCCCCCTCTTGGGGTCTGGGGAACCTCGGTGGCCCACACCCCCTACTGACATATGTCCGCTAGTGCAGGTAAGTACATTTCATGGCGTTACAGTACCACAAAAGCAATTTATAGGCTTAATGAGGTATTTTCAATCAACAGGCTTGCAAAGTTTTGCCAAGATTTGTAAATGTCAGTCTACCCGAAAAATATGTATACTACCCTCCCGCTGCCCCTCTCTCAACGATTTGTTGAATTGTCATAATGTAATCAAATGTTTATGCCTCCTTTATATTGTTCCTCTTTTTTTCAATCCTGTTCTTGCTAATATCCTAATTATCACATTAGCATTCCATTTGCATATCTAATGAAATGCATAAATACCTAAATTATCACGTGCACGATTTCGAAATTTGACACGTGCATCATGAGCGTAATACTGTAATTGATTTCAATCGTTGACTCGATACATTACTACACACCGAGTGCAATTCATATGTTAATGAGTTCAATAAACAACACATGTGCTTCTATTCCTGGATGTCCTACATGCGTTTTGCCATCAACAGGTCTTTGTTATCGTCCCTGAAGGTTAACTTGGTGCACTGTGCAGATATGCGAGTGCATGCACAAAAGGACCGAATGAAGTAGCTGCAATCGTTTAAGGGCCTACCCGCCGGCCTGCGATAACTAATATCCATGATGAAGACCTTTGTTCAGTAATGCACAGAATGTTGCTCAACCCCGCAAGTGCATTCACCGCATTCCACATACTATACAGCAGAATTCCCCTATACAAACAATTCTAACTTGAGCTGTATGCGTAACTCTCCAGGGAGCACTGGTGGTGCAGGGGTTAGCGCACTCTGCTACGAATCTGGCCACGGCTCACATCAGTGGCGAGTGATATCTGAACTGGTCCTGGGCGTCTCCCTTTCTGCACCAACCCTTACTGACCAGCATAGTGAAGCGTGGTCACACAACTTACATGCCTCTAACAGCATAAGGATTTCTTAATCCAGAAATAGATTGGCAAAGGGTTGTAAATTCTTGGTATTATGTAAGTCTCAAACCCATACCTTTTCCCCAATTCGCGATGGGTTCTGAGTTTATGTAACCCAACATTGAAGATGAGGCATTCAGATTGTGATGGCAAACACTCCCCTTGCTGCAGTCAGCAAAGCAATCTGTAGACGTGTACAGAATGTGTCTAATTGTAGATTGAGCTGGAAACATCACTTTGTAAAACATGCTAATCCCCTTTTGCATCTATTGAGAGGTAAATCGAATGTTAAATGTTCGATGTTTTAATGGGATATGCATGCAAGTGACTACCCCCTTCCCACCCAACCGCCACCTTGTCCAAGTGTGCCCATATAAGCCCACCGGAATGAAGGGGGGATCCCAGACTGATGATGACTGCAAGTCTCCTTGCGGCAGTTGAAACGTGGGATTTTTACAAATAAATACATAAATAGACTGGTGCTCCCAAACGCATTGTCACGAGTTTCCCAATGGGTGCCCCAAAAACACTTTAGTATGTCCCTGCTGCTAATTTGGGGCCTTTTAAGAGTGCACTTCAGTGTTCCCTGAAATAATTCAAAGTGATCTGACACAAAGAAATGAAATGCTGGGATAGCTCTAAGGGCTTGAAGGCCTCTACAATCATCATCACAGAGGGCCTGGGTTTTACACCAAAATCCTAAATTGTGCCTCTGCAGTAAACCAAGGATCCAACAAGTGACAGGTATCATAATCATAATTTAGTGCCAGTTTGTCAATCAACTTCTGGATAGATGAAAACCTCCCCCACGCCATATCGGTCAAGGACCTTGTATGACCATACTTCACTGTTCTCGTCAGTGAGGGTTGTTGAAGGAGGGATGACTGGGAATCAAACTCCATTCAACTGTATTCTTAGCTCTTTCGGTAAAGTCACGTTGAAGGGAAACAATAAAATAATAAAATATATATAAAACAATAAAAATGCTCACGACGTTTCGACCATAACACAAACGGTCGTCATCAGGTGTGTCGGTTTGCATTAATTTATGTATTTTTAAACGGTGTATTTATTTATAAAAAAAACGTCAGCGCCACGCGCAGCGATTTGGCAGTTTATTTCGAAGGACTAGTCCATCTATGTTCTGAAAAGAGGAGGGGGGAGACGAAAAATTAATGTATGCTGTCTGAAAGCCACTGTAAGCATGAACAATCAATTAAGACCTGAAATGGTTAATGAAATCTTTCCAATGATTGCTAAGCCAGAATCCATCTTCTCGGTTGAAATTGTCTCTATGCTTGTATATGTGGATAGCCTCATGAACTGGTTGATGGTGAAGTGCGTTAATCACGGTGCCACCACTCTTACCCCCTGCTTTATATTCAGGTGATAATATTCAGGGCCGCGAGGGGGTTGCTGCTGACGGGGCTTTTAATCGAGGGGCCAAATTTGTCCACCGCTGCCCACCACCAGAATGTTGGGAAAATGCTACAGCACGTGTTTATCTGTAGATAGGTGTGTAGAAGGTGTTGGATTGTATGCTTAGTGGTGTATATGTTTGTCCATTCCATTCCTACCCCTCCACTACCTCACCTCGTTGTGTCTATCTAAGCCCATCGTGGCGATGGTGAAATATGAGACTGAGGATGATGACTCCAATCTCCGTGGTTGAGTAGAAACTTTCCCTTGCTAAATAAAAGGTTGCCGTGCCCCAACGAGTTGTCATGAATATTCATATCCCCCACCACCCTTTGAGCCAAATCTTCTCCAGTGTAGGTGCCCTGTCGTTTGTTACTTGGCCTTCACCCAGCAGTGCATTGATCATGGCTGACTATGACACCCTAAGTACAAAAAAAAGTATTCCTAAATAATTATTTCCTCTTTGTTCTATTTAACTCAGCTGTGCATGTGGCAAGGATTAATTACATTCAGAAATGCACTCTTCATTTGACTTACCGCGTGATGTTTCACTTGCTCCTGTAAAGAGGTACCAACTTACTTGGCTGCTATAATTTGTCTTGCTAACGCATGCACTGTGTTGACCAAAAGTGAACCACAATGCATTGCTGATCTCGTCAAGGAGCATAAACCATCACGCAAATTCCGGTCATCCTCGCAGCGGCTTTTGGCTAGCCATCAAACAAAGACGGTCACTGCATCACGCGCTTTCAGATGCACTTCTAAAGCCGTCTGGAAAGCTCTTGCTTTCGATAGTAGGAAGCCACTGGAGATAAGCACTTTTAAATCTAGTTTGTAAACTCATTTCTTTAGAACTGCTTTTTGTGTTTAATTTGTTGTCCTTTCCTCGCACTTCCGATAAGAACGATTGGCTCCGTACGGTGCGAAATAAGTTGAACATACATACGTAAATTAGTTTAATGTCTCCATGTTAAATAATTACGGATTAACTTTTAATTGAAGATAAAAAAAAATCAGCTTGTAATAGCCAATGTGAAGCTCTTGAGGTTTTAAGTATCAAGTGTCATCGAATTTTCTGTTCCACTGCACATATATGAGTATACATGAGGTCCTGTCCAGATTTCACTCGACAAGTCTGAGCATCAGATTTAGGTGAATCTATGGCACTAGTCATAATAAATTATCCTAATCCTAACAAACTAGCCAACGCTACCCGACCATCGAATCACACCCTACCTTTAACCCGATCGCCACCTCCGGCGCTTTGCCACTCGTTTATCCATTCACTTTACATTTGTCGGCGTTCACAGCTCGCGATTCCATGCCACGCTTTGGCACACCACAACCGCGCCGCTCCGCTCACGCCACACCACTACACGCACACCGCGCCGATGTACCCCCACGCCACACCGCGCAACTACTACTACTACACCCAGGGCGCGCCAACGCACCACTCTTCTTGTAGAAGACAATCTCGGTCTTGAGCTCCTCCTGCGCGTCGAGCGCGCGCTCCAGCTGGTGCGCCAGCGCGGCCGGCGTGTCGGCGCCGTGCAGGAAGGAGCAGACGCAGCTGCGCTGCATCACCTCCGTGCGGCAGAAACCCGTGAGCTCGCAGAAGCCGTCGGAGCAGTAGACGATGGGGTAGCCCTGCGGCACCTGCGCGTTGCCCAGCACGAAGTTACTGTCTGCACGCAGCGACGACGGCCGGGCGAGGCGGACGCGTGGGAGTTGAGGATTTCGGGAGGGGGTGCAGATGGTGGCAGGGACGAGCAGAGCATGAAGCGGGTTGGGGAGGGGAAGAGACGCAGGGGAAGATGTGTTAGTATAATGCTTTGTTATTAAGTTAGGCAATTCACAGAAAGCTTTAAAGGTGCACGAGGCGAGGTGGCACGCGCAGACAGGTGGCCCCGGTGGCCACCGATGCGGAGAAAATGCGCGCGGCGCGCGGAGTTGGTTGTGGCCAGGAAAGGGGCGGTGGTGGTGCCTCGCTGTGGGTTTACTGCTACATACCCACATTGTCCTGGTCAAATCATAAGGTATTTAACGATTACCCATCCAGTGATATGACGGATTTCCTCGATCGATTCAGTCACAATTAGAAAAAATACTTATTTTTATCTCGATTTTTTTGTTTTATGTGTTGTTTGTCTCAATTGTACGGTTTTGTTAAATCTATTGTTCTTGATGTCTTATCATTTTCATGCACATTGCATAAAGTGGAGAAAAAAAACTATTTGACTGATGTGTCATGAGCATGAGAATTGTGTTAAATTGATGATTCGATGCATTGTTAGATGCATATTTGGTACCGAGTGAAAATATTGCATTTTTTTATTTCTTACAATTTTCCTCCATATTTTTTGCAGCCACTGGTTTTATGAGACGCATTTTAGTGTTTCACGATTGCTCTTTTACCTTTGGACAATTTTTAACAGGGATTTTGGATGTCGCATTAAAGGCCAATGGCCTGGAAATTGTAGCAGTCAGCCGCCGTAAATGCAAGTCTCCGTTATTACGTGACACTGAGTTTCTTTACGAACGGCATTACATCCTCCACTGCATGCACACACCGGTCGCTATTGTTAAGCGTTTGATGGAGCATTTCTTCGTAAACAGATGAATCACCTATATTTTCTCCTGCAGAAACGGAATCGCATTTTAAAAAGCCAAAGCGGCATGCCTATAGCAACCCAGTAAGTCGTAATAATGGTACGGTTTTTGCCTGTATAGCCACTGCTCAGTGTGCGGTTTGATTTGTGATTTTTTTTTTAAATGCCTACGTGACTTTACCGAAAGAACCAAAGAGTATGGATTCCTGCACTCACAAAAGCTTCAAATCAAGATTTTGTTTATTTACTTGCTCGCTCTGCGAAGCGTCGAGATGCTCACCTTTTAATCGCTTTACTTAGTAATTATAATTTTAAGTGACAACTCTTTGTATAGGAAAAGCCTCGCTGAGGTCCACGACTTCCTCATGAAAGTTGCAGTTGGGTTGCATGGCCAGGCAGACGTAAGGACTGACATCTTCATTCATAGGCAGGTAAGAGCTCATTGAGACCACACATCTGTCCTTCAAGGGAGTCCCGGCTTACAAAAACAAATAGAACAGAAAGTAACGTAAACTACAAAACACGTATACATCAAGTACCATACATGCTTATATTAAACGTGATATAAGTTAATATTTTGAAATGGAACGTGTCATCACCAAACAAGAGAGAGTACGTAATATATAGTCAACAAAATAGAGAATAAAGGTTTTTTGGGGGGGGATTAGATCGCGTAAATAAATAAATGTGTCGTGAAAACCCGCCACCACCCGACACAGCTAACTCGTAAGGGTTGTCAACAGAACATGTTGTGGCTTGGCTCTCCAACACACCGGTGTGCTGTACTAGTGACGAATTGGCATGTTCTGTTTACGTGACAACCCTTACTAGTTGGCTGTGTCGGGTGGTGGCGGGTTTTAACGACACAACATTTATTTATTTACGCGATCTAACCCAAAAACCTCTATTATGGATGATATTGGTCGCGAAAGCCTACGTGTTAAACTGGCTAACCTCTATGGGAAGGATACTTTTCTCCAAACCAGAAAACTGGAGAAACTCCCAATTCAGAAATTAAGCTGTTCTCTTCACTGGCGTGCCTCAAAAGATGCAGAGATTCAAAGGTAATTCCGCACGCAGATAAAGTAACTCATCAAGAGCGCAGAAGCGTGGTCAACACATCTACGCCTCTATATACGGAACGAAACAGTTAGACTTCTCCACAAATCTGGCGGTCGCCTGGTGAAGCTAGTTGTAATTACTGTCGAAACGTCGTACTCAGAATGTAAATGTTGTGGCTTGGCTCTCCAACACACCGGTGTGCTGTACTAGTGACGAATTGGCATGTTATATTTACGTGACAACCCTTACTAGTTGGCTGTGTCGGGTGGTGGCGGGCTTTAACGACACATTTATATATTTACGCGATCAAATAAAAAAAACCCCTCTTATGGATGATATTGGTCGCGAAAGCCTACGTGTTAAACCAAAATAGAGAATATTTCCCCCCCCCCGTGGTACTTGAAGGAAAGTAAGGCGATATGGGAGTATCATACGAAATGGTCAAAGTCCCAAATAAGAAAACAACTTTAAACAAGTTTGGTTCATATTGCATCATCTTTAAGAACGGCATTGTAACCCTTCCCATTCGGGACAAACCGACGGAACAAATGCACAGCCGCTGTCAACCGCAGTTGAAAATCCTAAATACTGATTCTTGATTCAAATTACGATGCCAGATTGTGACAATTATTAAAATATAAAACAAGATGATTTACGAAACCACGGCCTTTGTCCCCCCAGTGGCGATGTTCACACACCACACCAGTTACTCGTTTGAGGCTGAGTCAACCTAGGGGAGGCCCAGGCCCAGTTCAAATAATCGTCACCGTTGGTGGCCGTGAGCGGGAATCGAACTCGGGTTGCCGGTTCGTAGCGCAGCGCGCTAACCACTACACTACCGCTCCCCCCCACACACACACACAGACAGCACGCTAACCACTACACCACCACTCCCCACACACACACAGACAGCGCGCTAACCACTACACTACCACTCCCCACACACACACACAAACATACAGACAGCACGCTAACCACTACACCACCGCTCCCCCCCCCCACACACAGACACAGATACACACACAGACAGCGCGCTAACCACTACACTACCGCTCCCCCCACACACACACGGGCACGCGCGTCCATAGGTACACATACACGCGCTTGCTGCAGACACAACTTTCAGGGTGCGTACGGCAGTAAACGACTGAAATAATAAACCAATTCTGCGTGAAGAACGCCTTAGACCTGCAACACATTTGTATTTCACTTTACCCACGGAGGGTTGGGGGGGATGCGTGACGTCAGCAGGCACACTGCGTGACGCTTCCACATGCGCGGGTGACATCACAGATGTGACGTCACAGCTCAATAGCCGTGCAAAATATATACGCATTATTACAGTCTGGAAAGTATCTACATGGCAAATTTCAAGTTTGTTGCGTGTCGGGAAGTACTCTAAACATTTTGAACAGACACACACATTCACAAATTTCCCTTTTATATATAGATGAAAGCATGACTTGTGAGGGGCGGACCATGAGATTTGCTTCACTCTTCCCACTCCAAATGAGCCGGTGCGCATGACGAGCCATAAATTCTTCCTGGCAGCCGTAGGTGAAGCAGACCAGCAGCGTGGCACACACAACGGTCCGGCAAGGCGGCCAGCCAGCCAGCCAAGTTAGCAGCACAGGCTATTGCTGCTGCTGCCGCTGCGGCAGCTGTTCTTACTGCTAACTCGGCTGCAACCCACAGGCTCTAGGCTGAAGATGGCAGAGAATTGAGCGAGGTCTCCCACTGATTCGCTAATTCACCACCGCCGCCACCGACGGCATGATGCTTGGGGGAGTGACACGTTACAAAGTAACGTGCGCATGCACGTCCATTTTGTCCATCCACTGCTGTGCGTGGGGCCCTCTACGCTGCCAGGGTCGCAGGGGTCACGGGGGTTATTTGAACGTACTTCACCATACTGGTCAGGGCAGGTCTCACAAAACCTCTGTCTCCGAGCCGTGTTGCCTCGTGACATCGAAGGCAGCCACTGGGGGGGGCCGACGGAGCCGGCGGGGGGGGCAACGGAGCCGGGGGGGGGGGGGCGACGGCGCGAGCAGAGGGAGCCGACACTCACTTTCATGCATCATACACTGACTCACTCACACATCATACACTGACTCACTCACACATCATACACTGACTCACACATCATACACTGACTCACTCACACATCATACACTGACTCACTCACACATCATACACTGACTCACACCATGCACTGATTCACTCACACATCATACACTGACTCACACATCATACACTGACTCACTCACACATCATACACTGACTCACTCACACATCATACACTGACTCACTCACACATCATACACTGACTCACTCACACATCATACACTGACTCACTCACACATCATACACTGACTCACTCACACCATGCACTGATTCACTCACACATTATGCACTGACTCGCTCATCATGCGCTTACTCGCTCACACATCATACACTCGCACAACCACTGACCCATTCACTCATCATACACAGGTTCACTCATCGTGTGCTGGCTCACTCGCACATCATACACTGACTCAACCTAATACTAACTCAATCATCATACGCTGACTCGCACATCATACGCTGACTCGCACATCATACACTCACTCACGCTGCTGCTGACTCACTCACACATCATACACTGGGAGTGTAGCGCTGCCAGCTATGGCTGCAGGTATTGTCGTACGTGTTATGTATATCGTTTATTGTTAAATTTAAAATCACAGTTCCTATGATTACTGTTGTTACATTGTTTTTGTAGCTTTATTTTGGTCTGGTTGTGGTGTAATCGTTTTCTGCAATGTAGATTCATATTTTGTTTGTTGCGGTTGCACCCGACTTAAGAGCCACATGGCTCACAGGGCTATACCTAATAAATGAAACTTGAAAACTTGAAACTTGATAACCAAGCTCGCTTTCCCTCTCGACAGATCGGCTGACTGTTCTCCAAGTGGCACGGTGCCTCTGTACCAATTAAAGGCGGCATGCGTCAGGGTTGCTCGACGCGTGTT